GCATATTAAAAGACTGAGACCTATCTGCACCAATCAGTATTCAGTACTCAGTAGGCAACTCACTTTAATATAATATTATAATAACATATTGATTATTGGACAATGCGCAATTCTAAATTCGTATACAATCTCTCAAATCAGTTTTTTCATGAACACAACTACCTATATATACTAATTATTGGCAATCGCATATACTATAATATAAGCTACTGATACAGGTTAAAAAAAAATCTTACGTTACTGGCACAAAGTTTACCTTGGTTATAATATAATATTATATTATAATATACATGTAGTAGTTAAGGAAACCAGAGTTTAATACATTTTCAAATTATTTTGATTTCGTTAGGTATTTAAAATCTATTTTTATGTAGGTAATAAATATTAACTATAGTAGGTGCCTATATATTATATTACATACGTTTATGTATATAGCAAGACACTATAGTACACTATGTCAATGGAAAGGATAATATAATATTATATAATAATATATTGATTTGCACTTCAATCGGTATTATTATGATAATAGTCCAGATCGGATAACGAACATTATTATACAACAAGCAATAAATATTTATTTGCAATATCCAATAGTATACATTATCAGACTTATTCTTAAGGCTAGTGTCTCTATAGTTTCTTCTTGTGTTCTAATAACATTACAATAATGTATATATATATACATATGAGAAATAAGAATAGGATTTTGAACAATGATAGCCCAGAGTAATTTTTTTCATCTACGGTGTATTATTTAGCCGTACATTTTATACAGTTGATATATATTATTTTCGTAGAACGAAAATATATAATGGTCCACATCTTTTGGCGAATATTTCAGGTTTTCACGTCTTGACAATGTCTGAATGAGAAGTAATTATTGCGCGTTTGTTGTCAAACGCTCTATAGATAGAGTTACAACAGTGGTTCTTACAATAATTTTACGGTCAAATCGTAATTGTTTGGAGATGACAGAAAATAAAATGACTAGGTAGGTAACCTAGGTATACTGACCGGCGTCTACCGCGTGATTCGTGCCACGCACTGCCACCGTTGAACGAACCCTGCACAGGAAGTTGTAACTTAATTTTCTAAACCTTTATCTCGATAATAGTCATCGTAAACCATGTCACGACGTGAGGTATAATATATTATATATTATAAGTCCTGCAAACAAATCTCTGTACATCATACAATAATAATATAATATATAATATGACGTGTGAAGTATATTGTGCACGTTGATACCTGATGTTTATTAGGTAGGTACCACAGCCTCAGGTTTATTATACATCACAGCGTAGGTATACGAACTATGAAGCCATCGTAGAAGTTGATTAATTCAAGACGACTGGTAGATATATGGATCCTATAGTGTAATATTGCTTACGTAAAAACATTAAAAACAAATTTCTTCTTATCCCTCGACACACACACACACACACTCAAGTACTTACGTACTATATTATAAGGATTATTTTCTGTTGGCCAGATGCCTGTGCGGTCTACGATCTATGTATATACATAAATATATTATTTTAATGATGCCATACCCTACTCTTCGGCAATGCCTATGCTAGTATAATAGTACATAATACATATAGCGTATATCTTGTGTATATAATATAATCCTGCAGTATTATACGCCATGAACACAGAACAGCTATATAGTGTATATATATATGATGTCAGTCACGCGGAGGAATGCGTATGCCCGAGATAGATTTAAGCAAACTAGGCGTACCTCTCTGCAGCAGTCCTTGTGAACAAGTTATACATTAATAATTATTATTATTATCATCCTAAGCCTGGCAACCTTGCCGGCTATCGTATTTTTAACGGCGACTATCGTGCCCGATTGCTTGTATACGCGTGATTGTGACAGCTATTAACATTCTACTCTCGACGACCCTTAGGCCTTAGGTACACACACGTCACACGAACACATAATAATTATATATAATATTATACAACTGTACAACTGTACAAGGATTATAATAATACTCATATACGTTCAGGACAATAGTATATGAGATAAACTCATTATGTACGCGAACCTACCGTACAATAATAATATTATTATGATTTATGATGCATTGATATTGTAAGACGCGTATGCAGTGTTAGCAATATCATTAACAATCTTACAAACAAATTTAACACAGATATTGTGTTAGATCTATATGTTATTAAACACGTATAATACCGCGATGTTTGCAATTTTCTACGGATTTTAAAAATTAAATCTTAATTGTAATAACACGGTTTCAATAATTTGTATGTAGGTAGGTACATATTATTATGTTTGGTGGGAGGAATACACTTTGAGTGTCGGAACAAAAATGACAAAACTGACCATTCTGACCGGGAATTTTTTTTAATGTTTCTCTAATACTCCAATAATATTATAAGCTTTAACAGTTGTTTGGTGAAAAAAAACATTCGAAGTGCTTTTTGTATGAGTGTATCTATTGATTATTTTGATACACACTGCACAAATGAACAAAATAGTGTTACTGAGAATATTCAACTTCTCCAAAATTCATATATTTTTCTAAAATAATCGATTTCCATAAGAAAATCTGAGTACCATCATTATGTATGGCACAAATGAATATTTTATTTGTGTGTTGAAATAAATTGATACACATGACAATCAAAACGTCAAATATTATGTATAGTAATATCGATTCATCACTTGATAGTTATTACTTATAAATGATAAGTTACATTCATATCAAAACAACAATAATAACCTACCTGACAAATCATTGTAATTATTTAGCTGTCATTACTTTTCAGTGCACGCATATTCCCCCTTAAGATTTTAACATTAGGTATACTTTGTACTTACTTATTTATTCATGCAATAGGAGGTGCCTATTACTTACCTAACACATTTGTTTTCATTCTTATGTACGTAGATATTAGATTTACTTAATTTAGAACTGTTCTCTCCTACCCAAGCTTGCTTTTGAGACCAATTATTTTATCTTTAGGCAGGCATGTATTGTATGATATCTTGTGAAATAATTATAATAATTTTATATGTACATAATATTATTTTAGTATGCATGTATCGAACATCTTATGTATGTATAATAGATACTTATATAAATTAATTCATGTTCATAAATAAATTACTGATTTTTTTTTTTCAATATTAATATTGAATAAATAATCTAACTTATTATGAGATTACATTATAAATTGCCCGTATCCTTGAATTCTTAAGTCTCCTACTTTTACTAACACCAATAACATACCAACTAATGATTTTTGTAAACGATACTTTTTGATGGTCATTTCTAATTTATTATTAATGCTGGTTAATTATTTATCATTATAACTTAATTTTAAATGTACATACCTACTACAAGTTTTCTTACAGAAATAATTTTAAGAATAATATTAAATAATATGATATAAACTATATTAAATAAAAATAATAAATATCAACATTATGTGATTTTTAACAGAACACTCAAAAAAAATTCTTCAAATTATTATTTAAAGCTAAATCATTGTAATCAAAACTACCAAAACCGATTTTGTCGAAAATCAATCTAAAAAAATATATTATTTAAGGAGATATTGGGATAATTGTGTAGAATAACGGCGTGAAATCACTGGGCCGAGATCGGCATAATCGCCTATCTCACGCGTGTTAAAGTTGCTCATATCACACAATGATTTACAAACTAAACATTTTTTATATTTTATCGACGTTTGATTTATGTAGACTTATGTGATTGTTTGTGTTAAAGACGATAGAAGTATCAGAATTTCAATATAATGTTTATTTAAAAAATACAAAAATATATAATATGTTCGTTGCATGCATACGCTGTATAGTTACAACGGGATAACGCCATTTAATTTAATAAAGGTACATTTCAAATATTTCAAAAAAAAATTAAACAAAAGAAAAATGCTGGTTCCACCAACGTATTTGGTACACTGCACACGTACAACAAAAATTAGAAAATATACTTTGAAGGGAGGTAAATTATTGTAGGAATTACCGCGAGCCCTGTCAAATGACGTCACTCATCTTTTTCCAATTCCTCATAAGTCATAACTCATTGAACAGTATATGTGAGTAGAAACGTCAAACATATATCGTTAATCTTTATACATATAGTTAAACATTCTTTCAAATTAAAAAACATTTTAACATATTATATTAGATTGATACACCGTATACATAATTTTAAACCTAATAATAATTATTATTTGTAATAAAACAAAGCACGTAGTATATAATATAATATTATAAGTCCCTAAAATTGTGTGTAATACGACACACTTTGTGTAATACGAAGAGTGCAGTGTAGTACGAAATTTAAAAGTGTGTTATTCTCATTAAAACTTTATAATAATATAATGTATAATTTTATAATATCTTCACATTTTTTTTATATTTTAATGGTTTTTTGCCAAACCACATTTTAATTATTATCTACGTTCTACACAGACACACAGTAAACAATATTTTGTGTTGTTACGTCTTATACCCTTATTATAGTTATTATTATAAACTATTCATTGTTATTACTTATTGAGAGTAGCTGTTATTATTATTATCATTTATCAGCTGAGTAGTGAACGGTGGTATAGAGTATACTAGTGTTTTAAGTGTTTATCTAGAAATAATTTAGATTTGACAGATTTGGGACTATGTGTAGTACGAAAATTTGGATATTTTAGGGACCGAACAACACTGTTATAGCTTGAAGTTTATAAAATTCAAAACTATCTTATTTTTTAGAAGATACTAAGACATAATAATATGTTGGATACTTTTGAGGCAGGAGTTTTGGGGTTTTTACTTCCCCGAAAACCGTATTTAGAGAAAGGTATGAGTACCTACTATAAAACTACAATCCTTCGAGGATTTCAAACAAATTATCGGACATGTACGATTTCACTGTTCAATTTATTTTTACATCATTATTTCCTTACAATTTATTGACAGTTTTTTATTTTGTTTTTAGGTTTATGGGCTGTCATAAATACCGCAGACGTATGCTTGAAGGGAAGAATCGAAGTGCAAGAGAGCGCTCAATGGGAGACGTTATTTAAGACTAATGTTTTTGGAACACTCAAGGCAGCCAGAACATTTTATCCTTTACTAGTGAGCCAAAAAGGTAAACAAATATAATTCAATTAAAATTATTTTATTGGTGGTACGCAACTTATTTTTTTTTTTTTACTACATCTATAAATAAATTGTACACGTGGGTATACTTCAACAATTGGTCACAATTTTCTTGAATAATAATTTTATGGTACATAATATTATTATAATAATTTTTTTTCCCATAGATATGTTTTTGGGGTGAGTGCAAATTTTAATTTTTTTAGTCAATTTTCGTAACACTGTTTATTGCCATAGACCGCTAATCAACAATAAAAACAAAAACAAAACAATTAATTAAATACCTAACAAAATGTACAGTGTGCTGCTAGATATTTTTCCACTCCACTATATACCCAAAAACACATCTGTGATTTCTCAATTTTCCTTGCAGAGGAAAAATATCTAGTAGCATGCCACACGAGGTTGGTGTTTGGGCGTTTTTGTACTATAATATTAGGTAATTAGTACAATAAAAAATATTAATAATCACTAAACCAATTATTATTTTATTAATATTAATCGCTTGACAATTTAATGAATATGACGTATTCATATTTCATAAGCATTTTCATTAATTATAAACAGTAAATATTACGCATTATATTCTTATATTTAATGTTACATTCTTTTTCTTCAACGTTTTAGGGGGCTTTTATTGTACCATATTCTAGTTGTAAATCTTCCTGGAATTTTTCTCAATATCTGAATACTGTTTCATTCCATTTCGTTCGAGAATTACCCAAGAGACTATTCTTGTAAAATGTCTTTTGTATAGGTACTTATACTTGTTTAGTTATTTTTCCATCAGCTCCCCATACATAACCAATTCATTCTACCATTTAACTCCCTACGAAAGAGATATTTTTAGGTTTCCATAAATACTCTTTAACTAGAATATTAATAGTACTACATGCCCTCTCTTATTATTATGATAAATGTATTTGTCTGTGCAATATATAGATACAAATAGATTCCTTTCAAGTACACCAAGCTTCTGCTCTACATATCTATTAATTTTTAAGATAGCTCTTACTGGCTATTTTAAAGGGGCAAAATGTAGGCAATTTATAATCTCGTTTTCACTGTGCCTGTCATCTTTTTATTCTTTTCTATTTATCAGGTAATTAAACCCACGGAAAAAATGGCCATTGGTGATATTAATATAGGATGTACAAATAATAAAACAATAAAAATAAACTTGATTACTAGTTGGAAGTACATTAGGTTAGATGGGTAAGGTGATATCAGGTTGAAAAAATTGGATATTTGTTGTAGTAGAAAATTATTATAAGTGTAAGTGTGGTTCAATAGGCGAGTGAACATGATGACTATGTAGGTAATATAGCACACGTACAGTCATGGACTAGTCATCAAATGCCTAGAAAATATTTTTGTACTTACGAAACAATTATGGATAATGCCAATAAGTTGACGAAAGATAAATATGCTTCTAGTACAGTAGTACTTAGTACAATTTCAAATTAAAAAAATAATTTGAGGAACTTTTTCTCTGTGTTTTGTAGTAAATAGCTTTTGAAAATTTAGATGGTTTATGTAGTATGGCTACAAATGAGTTTACTTGATTTCTCAAATCATCAGACTTGGGTAAAATACTTTTTAAAAGTATTTCAAACACATTTTCCTAATACTTAAAAAAGTATTCAGAATATGTTTTGGATACTTTATGATCATAATATTCCTAAGTATTTGATATACTTCACAAAAAGTATTAGAAATATTTTTCGAATACTTTTTTTAGTAGATTTAGATTTCAATAGCAAAAATATCATTTTTTCAATTCTATGTTTATAAATTAACATTACTATAATCTCGATGATACACACCTATCTGGCTATCTATTAGTTATAAATTATATTCAAATAAATATAGTTAATAAGTAATAATTAGTAATATATTAGGGTTTACCTATATAAGAAAATAAGTATTCCGAATACTCGTAAAAATTATTGAATACTTTCAAAAAAAAGTATTTAAAAAGTATTCCGAATATAGAATTCCGAATACTGTATTCGGAATACTACCCCAGTCTGCAAATCATAAAATTTGAAAGGCCAACGAAACAAAAACAACTAACAAGTTTTTCTTACAAATATAGAGGTTCAAATTATTTTTCAAAGCTGAAATTAAACTTTTATAAGGATGTTTATTTTCTTGAGGTTATTGGTCTAAATGAGTGAAAAACTCAATCGCTTAAAACTCTTGAACCAGTTGAACCCCTTCATTATAAAAACATATAAAGTATTTCTTATTAAATCACTTAGCTGTACGTCGTGCTTGATTGGCCATACTCTAGTGTAGAATATTATATAGTTAATAATCGTTTCAAATACCTCACAAATGCTTACAATATCAAAATGTTTTAAAGAGTTACGTTTTTTTCAGGTCGTTTTATTAACTTCGGCACATCCAACGGACATCCTCGCCGGCAAGGGATGACTGCTTTCGACTCAGCGCGTCATGCCGTGGTCGGTGCTAGCACCTCGTTAAGAGAAGACCTTAAGGATTTGGGCGTACACATAATCATCATAAACACAAATCACATTCTGCCGGAGCACATGTTCGAACCGGTGCGAACTTCTGGCAGGGCAAACGAACAAACGCTCAATGACATTTTTCTGAAAACTTCTCTACCCGAGTATGCCATTCACACACTATTGGACGCACTGCTCGAGTCTAATCCCAAGCCCGTGTACGCTTTTGAAAAACCATCGATGTTCAATTGCAATAGCTTTTCAAAACAAATTCTGAAGTCCGAACGTTACGTTGGATATGAAAATATTTAGTTAAACGCCTTTGTTCCGCAGTTCCAAAATAGTGTACAAATTCTAACAGATAATGAAATTGGAACTAATCAAAGTTATATTATTATTTTATTTTATTATCATAGCATTAAATATTTACACATTAAATATTATTTAAATGTTATCCAAAGAACATTATTAAATGGTCAGTTTAGTTTTATACAAGTAATACGTTTGAAAATACTTGTAATGTTGTATTATTGTTGTAAAATATATGTTCGAACTAATTTAATTGAACACTCTGTCAATGTGCCGTCAAACTTGTACTTATATAATATTATAATAATTATCGTTGTTATACAACGAGTATGATATTGTATAAAAATTGAAAAGAATTATACAAACATATTTGATTCTAATCAACTGCAAATGTGTTAATGCATATTTTTACAAGAATCAATCGGTTAATAAAATAATACCTATACTTTCTATTATACCTGCATATTTAACCATATTAATAAGTATACTTTAAGTCCATATTAATTATAGAGCCATGTTGTTTCAAAAATGGGACATCGTTTTCTCCCGTTGTTCATATTATTAAAAAAAATACATAACACTATTTTTAGCAAAAGTTGTAAAAATATTGAAAGGATATAGTGACCATAAATCTACATATTATAACAAATGCTTTTAAATGTGACGATTACAACACTATTCCTTTTATTTCATATTATGAAAATGTATAGATATTTATTTGTCCCCCAAAGTTCACAGCAGGACTATGATGCTCGAATACGAATAATCAAAAGTAAGTACCTACCTACGAAACGAAGCGTCTCAATTTCATTCGTTTCAATCAGTTGAAGTTACGACCAGACGAGCACCTCCACTTGAGTGACGCCATCGCTACTGCATGAAGCAGACACGGCCAACATTATAATGTTGACTATAGTCGTTTGACCATTCTCTCAGCTACTCATGATGGAAGCCCGAGCATGATGCATTCAATCGCGAATTGCAACTGGAGCAAGACTATGATCGAGATGAGCTGGCTGAAAGAGTCCGAACAAATGTCCCGAAAAAAAGAGCCAAACACCATCTTCCTCTTTGTTTAACATAACCACAAATCAGTGGACAACTATATCAATAATTGTACCACTCAATAGCTATGGTAAAACTTATTTACTCTATGATGGTCGCATATTTGATCTTGGTGGTATTAAGTGTAATTCTCAATATTTTCTTAAATTCGGTCATATTTTTGACTCAAACACAAAAAATTGGACACCAAAAATATCAGACCATCATCGAGTAAATAAGTTTCACCATAACTATTTAGTGGTATAATTATTTTTATAGTTTTCCACTGATTTGTGATTATTTTAAACAAATGAGGGAAATAGTGTTTGGCTATTTCGCTCATAATTAAAACATACTGCAACAAGTAAGATTTGGTGCTTCTAACTCAGTACTAAAGACTGTATGAACAGCATAAGCTTCATCTAAATATTTTCTACATACAAACATAATATATTTCGAAAACATAAGAAAATAAAATATAAAAATATTATATAGTTACAATTGTTATTTAACTTCAAAAGTGGTTCTTTGTCAACAGTACACTCAAAAAATTTCAGGGAAATAATTGGTAACCGAACGTGTTCCATTAAGTCTGGTAAATGTTTATTACGATGTTCTCTATTATAGGTACTTGATCCGTTTCAAATTGATAATATATAAATTTAAGTTTAAAATTCGGGCTTAATTGAATGGCTTAGCTATTATTGTTATCGCTTCATGTCATTTATGTCTGTTAAATTAAGTAGGCATCTAATTAATGTAGTTTTTGTATACCTAAATAATATATTATATACAAATACCTAAAGGTACAAATATACATTACTTAAATCAAGGTTTTGACGTTTCAGTTATATTTTATTATATTATGAGTTTTATGCTATTACGGGTATTCTATGGTGTTTATGTACTGAGATACCTAACCTATATGTATCTGATATCGGTACGCAAGTTCAGATATAGGTTCAGAAACGCATAATGATTTGCAAATATGTATATACAACCAAATACCAATTGTATTTAACGATTGAAATTGTCTTTATTATAGTAGTATGTATTATTATAATCATAATCAAGTTCATATACATAATATAAAATAATATAATTAATATTGTATTACACAATTTACTTAATATTTATCTTAAATGATTGAACAAAATATATTTATTTTTTTTATTATTAATGAGATTTTAACATTAAATTATAATATAACAAAATATTTAAAACTGTTAAGATATTATATTAAGACTAAACATCTTGTACATAAAATCACTAGATTCTTCTGAATCGTTAATATGTTTTTTACAGAAGTAATCAACTGGTGTACTGACATATTCTTCTGTAAAATAAATTGGTATCACATTTTTTGAGTTTACTCGTTAGATTTCCTTTCAACGAACTCATATACATTCTATAAAACAACTCCATTTGTATAATTAGGTATATAAAGGTTAATTTTTAGCCCATCAACGGATTGATTATTATTATTTTATGAATTTGATTTTATGAACCAAAAATTATTTTTTTAAATATCCCAATTTTGATCAATCTTACAGAGATAAAAAAATGTTATCAACATAGACAACTGGAAAAAACTATTTAATTTATTTTCTACTTATTATTAATTTTTCTTGAAAATTTTTAAGTACCTAATCTAAAACAAAACATTTTTATCTATAATCAGTTTTAATATACACTAATTTATTTACATACCGTCATTGATAAAGTCTTTCAGTTCTTCTGCAAAATATGTAAAAATATACTGCATTATTGTGACAGTTTCCTATTGTTTTTGGTATAGCTAATATTGTATAAGAACACGACTCTGATGGTTAAAAATGTTAAATATTCAATATGTTCCACAAATTGTTCTTCAGGTAAAAAATATGAATTGAATCTCAACATTTATTTGAATAATATGTACAGCACTTATCTTACTTATTTTCCTTTTTTAGTAATATAAAATATATTTAAAAAAGACTATGATAAATAATATATTATTATGATTAATGATTAATATTATTACAATATGCTATATTAAATAATTTCATTCACTGCATACAAAACCATTTTATGGATAGCGATAGAATGACGCTGGAGTTCAAAATATGTTAACCTATACCTTGCATGAAGTATCTAGTGAGTATAGATCTTGGTATTGAAATAAACAATATGTTTATGTTACGTGTTTCATTATTTTTACATTTATATTTAATTTACTTATTTGTATTAAAAAAAGTCATAATTATCTATCTACAGTTATTTTAGATTCTGAGATAAACGATGAATGTATTGATTTTACAATGATGTGTGTTTTTTATTTTTTATTTTTGCGTCTGTCATCACGTTTTAGGACAGTAGAAGTGCTTGGATTTTCTTCAACAGTAGCTTCTCTGATAGGAAAGTGAATCTAGTTGGTACTTTGGGGGGGGGGTCAAAAGTGAAAATTTCCCAGTATAGTTTTCAAAAGCGGCGTGAAAAACAAAATAAAAATTAAGGAAAAACGGGAATGATCAGACGCTCGTGTGAAGTTGCCTACCCACTTAGTTCCAAGGGGGCGTCAGATCCGACGTATATGTAGTTTCCTACTACGCACAATTTCAGGCACTATACCCTTAACAGTCACCGAGTAGAGTTTTTCGGTCCATTGCCGTCACCTCCATGGTGTTCACCAAAAACAATTATTATTTTTATTTTTACTGTTCCAGATTTCGTACTAATACTTAAACCAATTTTTTTCTAAAAAAGGTATTATTGCAGCACTGGTATAAATATTTATCAATCCTCTGTGCTAGGAAGCGTTAATACACACTAATAATTAAGGTATACATACTTTCTTTGTAAAAATGTATGTATGCTTCGGAAAAATCTGTAAAAATATACAACACTATGACAGTTTCCTATTATTTTTAGTATAAGTAAATCCTTACAAAAACAGATTGTTCTTCAACTAAAAGATTTTAATTTAATTTTAATGTTTATTTGAAAGACTGATCTTACTGATTTTGCTGTACGGTAATATGTAAGTATGATTTTTTAGTAATCACGTATCAGTATAATTGTAATTAAAAAACTATGGAAAATAATTGTTTTTATATATTTCAACCAAAAACTAAAGATAATTATTTTTATTTCTAACGTTGACTGGTAACTGTTTAACAGAGTTGGTTAGAGCTAATTTCTGTACATTTATTTATAATATAGCTACCCTAATATTTAACACATCATTAGCATAAATTCAATAAATATAAATTATTTTATTATACTACATCTCATTATGTGTTTTGTTCGTCGGGCCTAAAGACAAATTAGTAAAACAGAAAGTTATGAATCTGTTGTGGATATTTCATAGTATTACAATAGATCCATATTCCGTGTCTTTTTGCACTACTAAATTAGCTTCAATGTTTAATTTCAAGAGTAAACTCTAGTAGAAAATTGAGTCTAGTTGGTTCTTGGGTAAGTAGAACTAAAATTATGGATAATTGGAAATATTTAAGTAACATAAGTTTACATCAAACGTAGATCATTAATATATTCATGAAATATTTATATTAACATATTCTTGGCATAGTATATCAATATACACGAAATATTTATCTTAAAGTAGGTACTGTTTAGAAATCCACAACATCTGTTAATTATTTTTCAATGCTTATGGTTAAAATGTTTGTTTTGTAAGTTAAATCCATTAAAAATATCAAAATAAATAATATTAGTATTTCCTTTTCAATCATTAAAAGTAAAAATTTTGAAGAAATTAGTATTCATCACAAGAATTTACAAATTATTTTATAGTTAAAAGTTCAATAGTTCTGTTTAATATCAAAGGTTAAATTTAATACAAAATTCTAGAAATTGCTTTGGAGGTTGTTTCCGCTCATAAATATTTTATATCTGCCGATTGATCCATTTACGTTATATAATCAACTGATCATATCCACATCATTAACTGCTCAATAGACAATGACTAGTGGTAAATGCAACTCAATAGTTCTACACAAAATCAAATTTAAATTTATACGTACTGATCCCAGCTTGTACTAAAAAAAAAACAAATAATAATAATAATAATAATAATTTGTAAATAATATGATATTGTGGATCTACCATAAAATTTGAGATACATAATAATACAAATATAGAAACTCTTTTAAAATATGAAATGTTCAACAGCTATATAGACCAATTAAATCGATCGAAATATAATATGATGAAATATTAATAATAATGAAATATATTTTAAAATGTGAGCTGATTGGTTTTTATAGATTAAGAACCTTGCATAGTCAAAATTATATAGAAGGTGTATAGGTCTATCTGAACAATGATAGTCAAAGCCAATGGCCATTAGCCACACTCAATAATGGGTGACGACTTGTCAACTTAACATATTCATAGCTATAATAGTACTTACTACTTAGTAAGTAAGTAAAAGTTTGAGGATGATGATGATCACATAAGTTATGACTCATGAGTAGGGCTAGGATTTTGCATTTTTTTTTAGGATTTACAGGACATAGCTTTTCAAGCACAAAATGTGATTTGGTCATATACGAGTCCAAATTTATAGTTTTTATTTTGCTTTTTTTTTGCATTTTTTTGTACTTTTAAGGATTTAGGGTAATTTTTTAGCATTTTTAGGTCATTTTTTCCATTTTACGGGCATTTTTTATACTTTTTTGAAATCTAGGTAATATTCTTATACATTTTCATTTACACTAGATGTTCTCGATAAAAGTTTTGAATTTGTAACAGAAATAATATCATATTCAATATTTCAATTATAGAGATAGTATATAGAGAATAATCTTCGATACCTCGAGTTATCTTAATCGTTAAATTAAATGACAGTGATGTGGAGAGAACAGTGTGTAGTAGTGTGTTAATACTCGTTATCGATAATAAAACCACTTATATATTACAACAATAAGCTTCGATACCACGAGTTATCTTAATCGTAAAATTAGATGACAGTGTTGTGGAGTGTACCTACGTATGGTTTTATTAAATACCTATTTAGTTAGTGTATTTACTTTCGGGATTGCGTATCGTGCTTGTAACGAAATATGCCGAAATAAAAATCATCGCAATCGAGTCGTATGCGGCTTTATGTTTCGGAATTTGGCGCCGACGTCTTTTCTACCGATGGTTTGGTGTTATTTTGTAAAGTCTGTGAAGTTAAAGTTGCAGCAGATAAAAAATATACAATTCAGCAACATATTACACGCGATAAACATTTACGTGGTATTCAAAAACGAAACGAGCAAACGACTTCTTTAACACAACCAATGTATTCTGAGTACGGAAATTCTAATTTTAATCTAGATTTGTGCAGGGCATTTTTAAGTGCAAATATACCGTTACATAAAGTATCTCATCCAATTTTACGAAATTTTCTTGAAAACTATACAAATAAAACAATTCCGGACTCGTCTACATTAAGAAAAAATTACGTAAATAAATGTTACGAAGAAACTATGAATAAAATAAGAACATATGCCTCGGGGAAAAAAATTTGGATTTCAATAGATGAAACTTCGGATGCAGCTGGTGGATATGTTGCTAATGCAATAATTGGAACGTTGGAAATTGATCATCAAGGTAAAACTTTTCTTTTAAATTCCGAATGCCTGGAAAAAGCTAATCATGGAACAATTGCTAGATTTTTCGATAAATCTCTTTTACTTTTATGGCCTGATGGAGTAAAACGTGAAAATGTACTTTTATTTGTAGCTGATGCAGCTCCATACATGGTGAAAGCGGCCAGATCTTTAAAGCTATTGTATGCAAATATGGAACATGTTACGTGTTTGGCTCATGCTCTTCATAGAGTATCGGAAGAAATTATAAAATATTTCCCTTTAGTAGACGAATTCATGTCAAATATGAAGAAAGTATTTTTAAAAGCTCCATCTCGTACTCTTACTTTTAAAACTTTTGCACCCAATATACCTTTACCACCTAACCCTGTGATAACTAGGTGGGGAACATGGATAAACGCATCTCTATATTACTGTGAACACTTAAGTTCAATCAAAAAAGTTTTGAGAGAATTGAGTAGAGAAGAAGCCACTGCCATAGCTAAAGTCCAAGATTTGATCGACAATCAAACTCTAAAATGTAATTTAATTTACATAAAAACTAATTTTAGCTCATTGCCCGAGTCTATCAACCGTTTAGAAACTTCGGATTTGCCACTAAAAGTCTCTATAAAAATAGTGGTCGATTTCCGACAGAAAATTCAACAATCTAAAAACGAAATTGGCATAGCTATACAAAACAAATTAAAAATGGTGTTGGAGAAAAATACTGGATTTGAAACGTTAAGTAAAATATCAAAAATAATTGATGGAAATGAATCAGACACGGCTCATTTCCCTGATGAGTTCAATATCGACGATATCACGTACATGAAATTTGCTCCGATTACTTCTGTGGATGTGGAAAGAAGTTTTTCATGCAACAAAACATTGCTAGCAGATAATCGGCGGTCATTTGTATTTGAAAATTTGAAGGAGCTACTGATTGTCCAATGCAACAATACAATTTAAACGTAATTTTCAGAATAAAAAAAATACACGTATATATTTTTTATTTTATAGTATTTTTGTTGTTTTTTTCAGAAAATTTTAAGCTGGCCGTTGCATAAGTCCAAACTTCAAACTTTATTATTCATATCAAGAAAATCCTAAATTAACATTTTTTTTGCTATTTTTTTATAATATTATAATTTAAATAATTTTTTATCGAAATATTAATTAATAATTATTAATTATAATGCATTTTTATAACATTTTAAAATCATTTTTTATCTTTTGGGCATTTTTTAAGGTCATTTTTAGGTTATTTTAATGTCATTTTTTTTAGGTTTTTTTTGTCATTAAAATCCTAGCCCTACTTATGAGATACAAATCACATAAATTTAATTACGAAATTAAACAAATTAAAATAGTTAAAATAATAATACATTATTCACTTACTTATGAAATCTAGAAATAAAATAACGAACATATACTATTTAATAAATAATATTATACTTTATGATTCACAATCTAAGAATTGTAGAATTGACTTGACTATTGTCTTAGAAAATAATCCATAACCATGAATTTCAAAACGATTTACTAATAAAAGTTAAGTGTTTCCGAGAACTCATGTATTGATGTATGTTTTTTTATTTAATTTGTGGTTGTTCGTATGTTACTGCAGTAGTTAAAAAATAATAATAGAAAATACATATTTATTAATATATAATATTAATATTTTCAATTATAATAAATTAGAAGATAAACAATGATGAAGGCAAAGGGTCATTGTTGAAGACCTAGACCAGGTTAGGTTAGGTTAGGAGCAAACCTCTTTTGGGTCAAGTGCCAAATTTTTCAAATCAAGGTTTTGACAATTGTTCACGTGCACAAAGGAATTTATATTTTCTATAAGCATAAAAATAAAGTTACTAATTTATTAAATTCTTTTTCGTCCGTCGGTTTAAACGTGTCACGTATGTATGGCTGTTATCCTACATATCCTATTATAACCAAAATTGTATTTATATATTATGTATAGCATAATTATTTATAATTTTAATTTTTCGCTTGCCATTGAACTTTGACCAACGTGCATTCTTTGGCACGCATGCCGTAGGTTCGCCACCCCTGACCTAAACTATCGACGTCGTCGCTGTTTTGACCGGTCTCGCGAGCTTGTGCACAAGCCACAAGGCCACGGTTACCTGAGGACTTTGGTCCCGACGGCCAGTCGCACCGGTCAACAACGATTATCGTTATCAGTTTTCTGTGCAAACAGTATTGCGAGCATCGTCCCTCCACCACCCTAGTATGCTCCGGACCTGTTGTACCATCTATAATTAAAGTTAACTGGAGTTTAACCGGCCGATTTTGCTCGGTTAAATTACTGTTATCACCTGATTAAGCTTAATCATAGTTTAACCGTAGACGGTACAACCGGCCCTAAGGGTATAACGGTGTTATTGCTGTTCGTGCAACGGGACCCCTTTTCTTGCATTCTGTTACTGTTGACGATCGCCACTTTAATTGTTCGCTGTTCCCCTGTAGTGTATTACGATTTATGTTTTGAACGTCGCGTCGACCGCTGCTGTGGGTAACGAAATTAAGTTAATTGTGGGTCGTCGCGCCGGGCCGCTGCTAGTGATCATCGTACGTGCTGTTGCTACTTGCTGTTATTCCACGTTGAACGGTTGGGATGTTTCTTCGTTGTCGTTATCACCTGTGGTATCACCCGTATTGGATAATACGCGGTAAACCAACTTTATACCTTACCCTCGTACGCTCTAGGCTAATGACTGTCTCTAGAATAAATTCAGATTAGCACTGTTAACCTTTGAGGTACGATGGTAGCGTTTTGTCAGTTCTTCGTTCGTTTCCTAAATTGGAATGACTATTAGGACGCCACAACCAGAGCACTGTTCAGTTTGTAATAAACCTCATTGACTATAGGTGTGTGGGTCTGAGCACTGTTCCAATATTAAAGGTAAGAACGAAGAAGACTTTGAAATAAAACTCAACTCGGGTTTTTAGGTTGGAAACACTTTTATTATATTAAAACAAACATAAATGAAAAACTTAGCAAATCCAGATTGCCTAGCCCGTACTACGATCGACGTTTCACACGTACGACCACAGTACCTAAGTCCTCGCCGATTCACTCAGCGACAACGGGACTCCTCGTGCCTGCGCGTGCGGCGGTGTTATATAGTAATCTTATCGCTGTCTCAGCACATATGCTTCACTGACCTATGTCAATAGTTTACAATTTAAAATGTTCCCACCTCTATTACATATTATATGAAATAATATTTTGACGACTGTCTACAATATACGACACACCTTTGCCGAGAGTGCTGATACCACGCCGCCTTATCGCCGTCTCTGATATCACGAGAGCCGCTATCACTGTCTGTAATCAACCTCACGGTCGTATCAATTTGTTGTTGTTATTTATTTTACTCAATACTGTTATTATCTTATTGTCATTCTGATTGTCTGTATCGCGCGTAGGAATTTATTACATAAATTATCTTTTGTTTTGTTTATATTGTCATGTAACCTTTCAGGGGATCACTAACATTGCCACGGGTATGGCGAACCCGGGGCCCCGAGCTCGGAACTGAACTGACTTTAACTAGCTGGTTCAGTTCTTTTCGATCACTCTGGCCTTAAGTGGCTGGGATGATCTGGTCCTCCAAGTTTGGGGTTACTGCGATGGGCCAGCCTCCCATCCAGTGGAAAAAATGTCTTGCTTAAGAAACCACCAAAAAACAAGTCTCGGATCTGGACTGATTAAATGGATAAACAACTGGAACTAGGAAACGGAATGAAATTGGGATCATGGAACATTAGAACTTAAAACACTCCGGGTGCATTACAATATGTCTTAGAGACAGTTAAATCATATAAACTACAATTATTAGCCTTACAAGAAGTTAGATGGCCTAATAAAGGAAACCTAAATAAGGAAAATATGACCTTATTCTACAGTGGAACATGTAATGATGTGGGCATCATAGTACACGACCGCTTACTACCGCATGTGAAAGTCTTTGAACCAGTAAATGACAGAATATGCTATATACCAGGGGTGGCCAGCGAGAAATGACTTGCGAGCCACCAAATATATTAATAAATATGGAAGAGCCAAAATGTAAAAAAAAAAAAAGGTCATATTATTATATATATATTTTATATATCAGATATTGTATAATTGTAAATAAGATAAGTTAAGGTATGGTATTTAATAAAATATTATACTTTTTCAAATACATAATTTCATATTAAAAAAATTTTTTTTTTTTAATGTTACGATAAGATGCGAGTCGCAAAAGTCTATGACGCGAGCCGTGGTTTGGCCACCCCTGCTATATACTCTTAAAGGGACTTTTTTCGATATTGCATTAATAGCTCGTTATGGTCCAACTGAAGAAAAGGAAGATAAAAAAAATTGGCCAGGAGACTATGTATAGAAAAACGATAGGTAAAGACAGTCTTCGTGAAAATAGTAACGACTACGGAACACGGTTAATAAACATGGAAATTTCAAAAGAGTTAGTGATCAGTTGTACTTATTTCCTCCGTAAGAATATACACAAGCACACATGGATATCTCCAAATGGATTAACCAAAAGCCAAATAGATCATGTAATGGATTAGTAAAAAACATATGAGTTGTATAAGAGTAACGTGAGAAGTTATTAAGGTTCAGATGCTCATACCAATCACTATTTGATAATAGTTCATTTCAGGTTAAGAATATCATCGAAATGAAAACTATCATCGAAAACGAACAACTCGAAATTCAATGTTGAAAGATTAAGAGACAAAGACATAGCAAAACAGTACGAAAGACTAATACAGAATGAGGTAAAAAAAGACAATGAAAATAATTAGATAGAGGATTTTATAGTAACTAACCTAACCAATGGCGCTGAATAAAAATAATCATAAAAGACTGCGCCTCAATGGTTATTGGAAATGCACAAAAAAGATAAGGAAAACGATGTTTAATGATAAGTGTCGAGAATCAGTAAAGAAATGAAATTAACTTAGAAATAAGGTGTTACAAAATCCATCTTAAGAAAATAGAATCACATATGAATATTGGAGAAAAGAAACCCACAAAATATTAAGAAGAGAAAAAAGAATTGATATAAAGACGAAAATAACAGAACTAGAAGAAAACAAAAAAAGCAGAAAAAACCCCAAAAAATTCTTTGAATGTTTTCAAAGAAAATAAAATTAAAAGCATTAAAAGTAAAAATGGTGTTCAATGAGAAAGGAGAATTAGTTACGGATAAAGAAGAAACAGTAGAGTTGTTTAAAAAATATTTTGAAACATTATTAAACAGACAAGGACAAGATAGTGCAAACGAAGACATGACTAACTACAGTGTAGAGCTATATTGAAGAACCTAAACAGAAAGAAGTAGCAAGGATAATAGGAACACTTAAGAACAACAAATCACCGTTTGAAAACAAAATATCAGAAGAGCTACTAAAAATAGGTGGAAAAGGCTTAATGAACACGTTGCATGGACTTATAAGTGAAGTATGGAAAAAAGAAACTATGCCAAAGGAGTGGAATAACGTCAATCATTAATATTTTATTAAATAACTTTTTATTTAAATTATTCTGTATGAATATATAATAATGTGATGCAACATTTAATACATTTAATATCTAATAAATTCATAAAAAAAAAATAAAATAGAATCAAAATTCAAAACAATATTTTTTTAACTATAAGACACTGAGCTACATAATTTTAAGAATAATTTGTGTGTATTATTTGTTATTTAAAAGTTTCTTTATATCTGTGAAACAAATTAGTATAAAACGTATGTTTATCTTCAGGAATACATTTGTATAAATACTCTATATCTTGAATTTTTTCTTTAGTTATTTTTGGATTATTTTTAGTTGATATATCTTAGTTTATATTTTTTAAAGATTGTATAACATTTGTATTCGTGTTAGAACACAGGTTAATTTGAAGAAAATCATCTGCACCATGTAATGTTCTATACTTTACTATATTTATAATTAATAATATTATCTATGGATGGGAAATACTTGTTTTGACCACGACACAATAAGAATTATCTTATCGACATTTTGATATTATTGTGTAATTGGTAGTGATAGGACTCTTTTATTCTTAATAATGTTTTTGTAATTCAATATAGAACCTTTTTATCCTCAAAAAAAGTTATAGAGTAAAAAGGTTCTATCTAATACATTCAAATATAACGAATATGTTAATTTTAGAGACATAGAACCTTTTTTCTTTGTGTATCTCATTCATTATAGACATAATTGTTTTAACAGAAACATGGCACGATGTTAATTATTGTAATTTCTCAATACCAGGTTATCATTTATATTTTTAAAAAATTAAGAGAAATCAAAAAATTATGGTGTTATGATATATGTAAAAGATAAACTATGTATAGATCTTTTTTTTGAATATGAATATGTTAATGCTAATATTTTAAAAATTGTTATGAAAATTAATTATTTATCTTTATGTATTCTGTGTATTTATAGGTCACCTTCAGGCGATAGAAACGAATTTTTGACCACGTTACATAGTATATTTACCACTCTTAAAAATTTTAATGTTAAAACAATATTTATCGGAGATATAAACTTAAACCTCATAGGTAATGACTGTGTTGATAACGAATATTTAGATACTTTATCGGAAAATGGTTTTAAATCCTTCATTAATGTGTTTACAAGAATGTCAATAGGTATGAGAGCATCTTGTTTGGATCACATTTTTATTAAAAATGTTAATGAGTGTAATATCGAGGCAGGAGTATTACAAACTAACATCACAGATCACTTTTCCACAATTTTGTCTATTGAAAACGAAAACAAAGAAACAAGCACTAAAAATAGTTTCAAAATGATAGACTATAAAAAACTAAATGAATTCTTTAATAATGAAAAATGGGTTGAATTATTTAATTGTAATGACGTAAATGAATGTGTAAATATTTTTCTAAAGACAGTATTACAATTTTTAGAACTATCTACGACTGTTAAAAAAATAAATTCAAAAAATAAACGACTAAAAGAGTGGATGACAGCAGGTTTATTGTGTTCTGTACGTCGCAAACAGGAACTATCTCTAAAAGTTAGTAAACATCCAAATAATATAAAGCTTGCTTCTTACTATAAAAACTACAAAAATAAATTCACAACAATTTTAAGAGCTGTAAAAACTAATTATTTTAAATATAAATTTAATAAAGTATCCTCTAGTCAAAAACATACTTAGAAGGTGATAAGTGAGATCACAGATAGGAAAAACACAAAAAATGATGACATTAAAAAAATTAAGATAAATGATAGAACAATAAATACCTGTGAAAATCCTCAATTGGTATCAAATACATTCAACGAATTTTTTACTAACGTAGGCAAAAATCTATCCAATAATATTAAAATATCGACGATGGCATATAAAAAAGATGTTTTTTCAGTTTCTTTTAACCAATTTTTCACTGAAAGTATTTGTGAATCTGCCGTTCTAAAGGTTATCAATAATTTAAAAGATGAAACAGCTGCAGGTTTTGATGGAATCTCGGTTAAAATAATTAAAAGTGTAGCAATTAAAATAATAAGTCCGTTAGCTCATATTTACAATTTAAGTATTAAAAACATTATATTTCCGGAGAAATTGAAAGTGGCAGTAATCAAACCTCTCTTCAAAAACGGAGATAAAACTTGCATAAATAACTATAGACCCATTTCAATGTTAAGTAATTTCTCCAAAATATTTGAAAAAATTGTTAAAAATAGACTTATCTTATTTTTAGAAAAATTCGAACTTCTGTCAAAAAATCAATTTGGTTTTAGACCAGAATTAGGTACGGAAAATGCATTATACAACGTCACACGTTTTATAAATTCTGCACTTGATGATAATAAGTAATGGCTATATTTTTGGACCTAGCCAAAGCGTTCGACACGGTGAATCACACAGAACTTTTAAATATCTTGCCTGAATTTGGTATTAATTCTTTAAGTTTTGATTGGTTTAAAAGTTATTTGGATGACAGAAGACAGATAGTGCGAATAAATAATTTTATCTGTAATGAAATGGTAGAAAACTGTGGAGTTCCACAAGGTAGTGTATTGGGTCCCATTTCATTTATTAAGCTATTGCATAGCTTTTATCGCAGGTCTGGTGTAGTGACTGAAAAAAAATTTTTCGTAACGAAAAAGCGTGACCACTTTGTTTATTTATACATACTATAGCAACCAGGTGACCATAGAAACGCATAGCTAAATTATAATTTAATTTTGATAACAGATATTTATTTTTAAATAACAACGACTATGAACATCATTTAATAAATATAATGGTTTTGTTATGGGTTGCTATAGAAATAAATGTATATATATAAATATATAATATATTATAGCAATAAAAACATAAACTATAGTTTCTATGATACAAATTCCTAAATAAATAGAATAATAAAAAAATTTAAAATTATATCAACTTCTTATTTATTTAATATGCAATAGCTTTATCGCGGCAGTCCCCGAATGCCACTTTTAATATTTTGTATATAAATAGTTTCTGTAACTTAAAAATTGAAGGACTTATAACTTCCTATGCTGACGATACATGCCTACTTTTCGCAGGAAACACATGGGTTGATGTACGTATTAAAACTACTAAAGGGTTTAAAAGAGTAGTCGATTTTCTTAACCACAGAAAACTATCGATAAATTATGATAAAACGATGTTTATGAACTTTATGATTAATGATAGGGAGGAAAACTTTGATACATTAAAAATTCATGTCTTTGATAATAATAACTCATGTAAATAAATAAAATGTAAAACGCTATTAAGGGTCTCTAGTATTCGTTATCTAGGTCTAACTTACGATAAGAATTTAAGATGGAATCTGCACGTAAACAATTTATTAATGCGTTTACGTACTATAAGTTATAACTTTTATAAATTACGAGTGGTAGTACCAATACATGTTGTTCGAATAGTATATCTAGCATTATATCGCAAGCATTATTGCAATACGGTCTACTTATTTGGGAGGCCTTTCTGCTAATGCTCTAAAACCTTTATCAATTCAACAAAGACAAATTATTCGAATAAGTCTGCAGAAACCTACTCTTGAAGGTTCAACAAGTCAAAAATTTAAATTATTTAATGTATTACCTGTGGATTTACTATTTAAAAAAATTGCTATTTTATGGGTTAGTAAAAACATAGATAATTGGATAACTAATAATAATGGAAAAACAAAAAGGGAACATCTAGCATACGATTTTAAAATGATATATTTAAAAAAATCTTTTGGTCAAAAATTCGTTGACTACCTGGGTCTTACTTATTTTAATTCCATGCCAAATATTATTAAGAAAAATATAATAAATAAACATAAAAATGTCAAAAAAACTGTTAATGACTGGCTAATATTGTCAATGGGATAGTTATTAATATGTTTACTCTATTTAAGTATTATTCTTTTGTTTGTATTTATACTATTTTATTACTATCTGTAAGTAATTTGTCACTCTCTACCTTCAACACAAGCATTGCTTTTAGAAGGTAGATAATCTATAAGTTTATTATGTAATTTTTATATTTATGTAATTAATGGATAATCTATATAAAAAAAAAAAACAATCGCAAGATTTTTTAATGATGCGAAGAGCTTATTATGGCCACAAGGAATACATCACGAAAATGTTTCGTTGTTCTTATCGGATGGTGCACCATATATGGTTAAAGCTGGAAAGGTTCTAACTACATTTTATCCCAAAATGTTGCACTTAACATGTTTAGCGCACAGATTTCATCGTGTAGCTGAAACAGTTAGAGCACAGTTTCCACTTGTTGATTCATTAATTGCTACCATAAAAAAAGTATTCCTTAAAGCTCCTAGTAGAGTACTAAAATTGAAGGAGTTATATCCTAATTTATGCCATCCACCTGAGCCAATCATTACTCGGTGGGGAACGTGGTTAGCAGCAGTTAAATACTATTCTAACAATTTTGAAAAAATTAAAGACGTCATTTCAAATCTTGATTCGGATAATGCAATATATTATGCAAAATAACGAGCTAAAAAATAATTTAGCATATATTTTAGCAAACTTTTGTTTTTTGGTTGAAGTCATAAAAAAAATTAGAAACATCGAATCTCACATTAGTTGAAAGCCTAGAAATAGTGGAAAATGCAGCATATACACTTAGTGAAGTCCAAAGAGAATCTGGAGTGATAATAAAAAATAAATTAAATGACGTACTAGCTAAAAATGTTGGTTTTTAACACATAAAAACTATTAGAAATATTCTTCTAAATACAAATGAAAACAATGGATCAATGGATATTGAATTTGCACCATCTGATATATCAAATATGAAATATGCCCCATTAACCTCAGTTGACGTGGAACGCTCTTTCAGCAGATACAAATCAATTTCAAGACCTAACCGCCGCACATTTAAATTTGAAAATCTCCAAATGTACATTGTTTCATTGTTAGAATAGACATTCAACAAATAGAAGAAACTGTTGAGTCTCAATCTAATAATATTAGTATTACTGTGACAGATGACTCAAATGATAAAATAGTGGATTATTTCTCGAGGTAAGTTATTAGTCCCTAAATTAAAATTTTCAAGTTTTTAAATGCGACATGAAAAACAAAATTTAGAAAAAAACGTGAGTTTACGCAAAACAAGTTTTTGACATACCTAATGGAATTGTTACTCAAAAACTAAAAACTGTATACTCCGGCCCACGAGAGATCAGTACCGTCACGCGCATGCAGAATGACGGTACGGAGCCCAATTTTCCCCATTATGTGCCGGAATGCCGCAATCGTCACAATTGCCGACCGACACCGAAAGTCGCCGAAATGCTGTGGTTGGTTGAGTGGATCGAAATCGGACGTGCTTTGGTCGAATAGCAGTACTGATCTCTCGTGGGCCGGAGTATAGATAGGTACTTGAAAGTTTCACCCAATGTTCAAATTGGTATAACCTATACAATGTATACTATACATGGAATAACTTTTGAAAGATTTTTATTTTTTTTAGCTATTTATGGACAGTTGAAATTTTCAATGTTTCCTATTTTTTTTTTTTCTGAAATGTCGATACAACGAAAAGTACAACTTATAATAAACCTTATATTACATTTTAAAGTATTTTTGGAGTGCCAATTTTTTTTTATCGACATTTCAAAAAAAAAAAAAAAACTTAGAAAAATCGAAAATTTCAATTGTTATAGCTTAAAAAAAGTCAAAATATTTATTATGTCACCTAAAAAGTCCAGATCACTCTCTAATAAACGAGCTCGATCAGGTAGAAAAGGTAATCAAAAAAAAAAGGTGGGCAAGTGGGTGTCGCTCTGCTGTACAGTAGGTTAAAAGTGGGTCATTGTATAATGGATGGTATTACATTTGAATTCAATGATATTATTTCATTGTATAAGAAAAACCTTTCTGAATGGAGACGGCATGTCCTTCTAAGTATAAGACATATTATATAGAATATACTTATCTATGGTATTAAAAAAAATTTACCTATAATGAATTCCAAATTAATCATATCACAATATCTATTAGGTACTTATAACGCGTTATACACCAACAACAAACCCTGATACTATCATAGATATATAGTAATATACTTTAGAAGTTTCAAGTACCCACGAAAAATATTATACAATCACAGCAAAATAACTAAAATAGTTATTCTAGGTTTTTTATTATGTAATTTCGTCCAAATTTGAATTTAAAATGTCTGTAAAAAATAACTGTGTTCATATATTTTTTAGATTTTTTGGTTACAGTATGAACTATTTATGAGAACCTTTGTTTTAAATTTGCAATCCTTAGCTATAAAAACTGAAAATTTTATAATTTATTAATTACAATGATTGATAATTTTCGAGATTTTGATAAATTTTGTCAAAATTCGATCTCGGAATGCTTATAAAAAAAAATCGTGCCTATGTATTTTAAATATTTTTCAACTGATATTGTAACAATATATCAGGAGCCTTGTATTAAAGTTTTACACTTTTTGGCCCAACACATAAAACTTTATTGATATTCATAGAAAAAAAAACTAAAAAATTGAAATCTGACAATGTAAGTTAACAGCTCAAAAAGAGTCAAAATTACATGGTGTATAAGAAATGCTAATATAAACATTCAGTGAAATTTGCATTTATCGACAGTAATTCGTTTTTGAATTACAACAAAAAAAGGAAATCATAACATGAGAAATCGAGTGAATATCCAATGTTGTAAAAATTTGAATTTCAAACGCTCAAAAAAATTTAATTTGACTTTCTTATGGAATTTTTTTTTTGATAAAGGTAGATAATCTTATTAGGAATCTTCTATTACATTTTCAAATCTTAGATTTAAAAAAAAAAATTTTTACGAATTCTTAACTCAAAATAATTTGCTAATTTTGGTGATTTTTCCATATTTTGTAAATTTTTGAACTTTAAATGCTTATAAAAAAAAACTGTGACTAACGATTTTTAAAATTTTTCATCTGCTTTGAAACAATATACTATTAGCTTTCTATTATATTTTCAAGTTTTTTTAACCAACAAATAAAATTTTATTGATATTTCTAGAAAAAAAAACTAAAAAAAAATGAAAAATGAAAATGTCCCTAAACAGTTCAAAATAAATCAAAATATTTTGAAAATGTTATCGTGTATAGAAAATGCAAATATAAACAACCAGTGATAATTTCATGTATCTACGGTCATTTGTTTTAAAGTTATACAAAAACCGAATTCAATTTTCTGAAAAATCGATTTTGCGTAAAAATTCCCGTTTTTCCTTAATTATAATTAGTACGTTTTATAATCGGTTAGAAAAACTATTTCATTTAACGTTAAATGTTCAAACCAAAGATAAAATTACAACATTGGCAGAAGTCATAGAGGGAATTTTAAAAACACAAACATTGAGTATTTTTATTGAGGGATTAAGGCAACCTATAAAAATGTTAGTAAAGGCAAGTCATCCGAGTACAATTGAGGAAGCATTTGCGGAGGCTCAACAGGAGGAAACGTCATACAAATTAGATAAGAAAACACAATCAAAAATTCCGAAACAAGAAGCAGCAAGAATTACGTGTTTCAACTGTGGTAAAGTAGGTCACATGGCCAAGGTATGTAGGTCAAGATCAAATCATCAATTTATAAAACAGTCTCAAGAGAATCAAAAGAGCTGTTTTACGAATACGGGCCAAAATTCGAAACCAAACAACTTGTCAGCAAATATTCATCGGCAAACGGCAGAAAGTAATAGTGCTTATAATAACAAAACAATTGTTTGTAAATATTGTAAGAAACTAGGTCATGAAATTGGTATGTGTAGAAAATTAAAATATAACAATGAAAAAAGAGCTGGTCAAGCGAATTCAAGTTCAATGACAGAACCATCAACTTCGGGAAACGAGACAGGGTCGATTCAGAACGGCGAACGATCGGTCCAGGAAATCAAAGCAACAGCCGTAACATTTCTAGAACATTCAAATTAAAAGCTCAACTTTTTAAAGATCACATTATATGTCAAGCTACGGAATTTATTAATCAGAAATCAAAATTTTTACTTGACACAGGTAGTGAAGTAAATATAATAAAGTTATTATCATTAAAATACGACGTCAAAGTTAACGAAAGAATTTTATATCGATTAAAAGGGATTAATGAGTATTTTGTGAACACAATTGGGTCGGTAAATATAACAGTAAATTTTGGGGAAGAAAAATGACAAGTAAGGTTTCAAGTAGTTAGTAATAATTTTCCAATACCTCATGATGGAATTTTAGGCAAAGAATTTTTAGAAGACAACAAGATAGCAATTGATTATGCAAAAAATGAAATAACGTCGACACTTACTGAAGAAAATTTTACAGTAGTAAATCAAGACAGTACGCATGTTGATAATTTGAACATTGCAGTAGTACCACCGAGATCAGAAATGATAATTTCAGTAAAAATTACAAACAGTCAAATAAAGGAAAAAGATACAGTGATTATTTATTCACAAGTATTGCAAAATCGAGTACAATGTGATAATGTAGTAACTACAGTAAGGAATCGGCAAGTGCTAACGAAAATTGTCAATCAAACCGAGAATTCTATTGATTTACAGCCAGTAGATTTGGGTAGTTTATTGTACGAGAAATTTGAAGAGGCAAAAATACAAGTGTGTACTAAATTTACAGAAGGTCCAGATAATGAAAATCGGGTACAATTATTGGAGAAGTCGTTAAGACTGTAGCACCTCAACAAGGAGGAATACCAATCATTAAAAAATATATTAATTAAATTTTCCGATATTTTTTTATTAGAAGGTGACAGATTAGATGGAACATCAGCAATACAGCATCGAATTAGAACAGCACCCGATATTCAACCAATTTATATTAAACCATATAGGTTTCTTCAAAATCACAAAAAAGAGATATCAACGCAGGTAGATCAAATGGAAAATGATGGAATCATTACAAAAAGTACTTCACCTTGGAACGCCCCGTTAATAGTAATACCAAACAAGGTGGGTTGTTTAGGGAAACAAAAATTTCGTATCTGTGTGGATTTCAGAAAATTAAATAATATTACAATCGGAGATGTGTTTCCGATTCCTAATATAAATGATATTTTAGATCAACTAGGCAATTCTAAATACTATACGACCTTGGATTTAGCGAGCGGATACCACCAAGTGTCGGTACATGCAGAGGATAGAGCTAAGACATAATTTTCAACAGATAAAGGACATTATGAATTTCTTAAGATGCCTTTCGGATTAAAAGGAGCGCCGAGTACTTTCCAAAGATTAATTAACACAGTGTTATTAGGAATAAATGGAGTAAAAGCATTCGTATATATAGATTATGTAATTGTATATGCTCATGATTTGAAAGATCATAGTGAAAAGTTAAAGGAAATTTTCCAAAGGTTTAGGGATTATAATGTAAGGTTTTGGGCTTTTTAGGGCCACAAAAAACTACCCACGAAAAGAGGGGATCACTTTTCTCGTGACCTGCGAGCCGCACCGCGTGAGACCCAAGGGTCAAGTCGGTGGAACTCGCAGGCTTTGATACATGGAAGGAGTATTGCAACTCCAAGATTTATTTTGGGGAAAGGGTGTGTTGATTAAGAAATAATAAGTTAATTTAAAGGTAATCACGTGAGTGTTTTTTACAGGGGTTTTAAGTAATCAATAATTTTGTAATAATATAATCTGGCACATGACAAGTACAATAAATATAAAAGGAACATTGCAAGTACAATAATTAATATAAAAGGCACATTTCAAATACAATAAATAATATAAAAGACACGTGGTCCATACTCAAATCATTTAAGACGCTCGGCCCATGGGGATCGACACACCACATTACTCGTAGTGGTCTCCACAGGGTTACCGGGCGCAGTTTAAATGATTCGGGGAGGCGAAGGGTCGAAACGTTTGTAAGTGTGGTCCGGGGCCCTCTACTTAAACGCGCACAGGGACAGCTGGTTTTTACGCCAGCCGTATGTGCACGAGTAGGAGGTTACCCACTAGGCCCCAATGGCAACCACACTTTTGTGTTCTGCAACGAACATTTTACAAGTATCGTGCTTTTGAGTGACAAGAAAGAAAAAAAAGGATGGGAACAGGGGAATTATATTTACGACAGCCGAGTATGATGTTGACGGTGATGATGTGCTGGTTTGACGGCAGTCACGTGGTTGTAGCATGGCCCGACCTCGGGCCCGTCGTAGAAAACTTAGCCCATCATGGCGTGTTGGTATTTAGCCAGGAAAAACGATACGTGGTTCTGACAGGTAATGTAGACACGAAATCTGGCGTGATATGCAGCGAGTTTATGTAATTCGTTGTTCACAAAAACAGTAGTACCTATAGTACTAGGTGGAGCGGTGTTCAACCGTGGTCCGTACTTTAGGACGACGAAAAATGGAGTGGAGAGTGACCAGCGTCAGTGGAGTATATCTTATGGCGAAAACCGAAATCCAAAAGTGAGATAGTCTTACGGCAGCTGATTGGCGATGGTGCTGGGGCTGTGTCGTTTGGTTGCGGGATCATTACATAATATTGTGTGGTCAGAAAGCACCGTGTGCGGTACCGGTTTTGACAACGACGGCGGTGACAGCAACAGTCGCCAGCAGCTGCAGGTCGAGTGTGCAAACACTGCTGATTACGAGGTGGGGGGAGAACATATTACATAATATTGCTGTTATTATTGAGAATTCTCTTTGCGCGGCACATGTGAATAATTGTATGCTGATAATTTATTAGAGGGCCAAAATTCCGTGACGTTACAATAATTTGAAAGTACAACCTATGAAATGTGAATTTTTGCGTCATGAAGTTATATATTTAGGTCATATTATCACGGAACAAGGGTTGAAACCAGATCCATCAAAAATTTTGAGTGTAAAAAATTTTCCAGAACCAAAAAACCAAAAACAATTAAAAAGTTTTTTAGGACTATCAGGTTATTACCGTAGATTTATAAAAAATTATGGTAAAATCGCAAAACCGTTAACCTCATTATTAAAAAATGATATACCATATGATTGGACAAATCTGTGTCAACAGGCCTTTGAAACATTAAAAGAGTGAACCGATTCTTAGTTATCCAAATTTCGATAAACCATTTAATGTAACATGCGATGCGAGTTACTTTGCAATTGGATCAGTTCTTTCACAGGTACGATAGGGGAAGATTTACCCCTAGTATATTCATCAAGGGTACTGAATAAAGGTGAACAAAATTATGGTACAACAGAAAAAGTTATTAGCTATTGTATGGAGTTTAAAACAGTAAAGACCGTATTTACTGGGAAGAACATTCTATATATTGACAGATCATCAGCCTCTCAAGTGGTTGGTTAATCACAAAAATCCAGGATCAAGACTGATGCATTGGACACTAGCAATGGAAGAATATGAGTACGAAATTATTTATAAGCCAGGTTTATTAAATACTAATGCCGACGCTCTCAGTAGAATACCACAAATTATGCAAATTGAAGGGAAACAAGTGGTAAGCAGTAAAACATATAATGAGTATATGGATTATATTAAGACAAATATAGTCCAAAACGTGATTTGGGAATCAGAATAAAAAAATTACAGATTTATTGTATTTCAAAGAAGGTAACCGTTACATAATATATATGATTTTATCAGAGAAAGAGAAAAGTCAAATTACTTACGAAAATATGTATAATTGTCTACAGAATTTAAAAACATTTTGTTTAAACAATCAAATTACAGATTTAGCAGTATCAAAAACAGGTGATCAAATTGTTCAGCTCGATTGGGCAACAGTAAGAATAATGTTAAGAAATTTATATAAAGGCACTAGTATAAAAATTAAAATATTTACACCAAATGAACTTACGGATCAGGAAAAGAAAATTATAATAAAGAAACGCACGAGAATCCTTTGGCAGGACACAGAGGGATTTCGAGTACTATAAAAAAAATTAAAAAACTGTATAATTGGCCAGGAATGTCAAAAGCAGTCAAAAGAATAAAACTTCAAACAAGCATACAAAGTAACCGATGGTTATCACTTCCACAGCAGATAAACCATTTCAAAAAATATTTATGGACATAGTAGGACCACTTCCTATTACACACAAAGGGAATAAATATGTACTTACAATGCAAGATGATTTAACAACATTTAGCATTGCGACGCCTATGGTATGCCATGAAGCTAATACTGTAGCGCATAGTTTTGTGAACTCATTTGTTTGTATACATGGAATTCCAGAATCAATAGTATCAGACCAAGGCACAGAGTTTCTAAGTAAAATTTTTCAGAAGTATGTAAACTATTAAAAATTTCCAAGTTCAACACAACACCATATAGACCACAGAGTAATGGAGCATTAGAGCGAAGCCATTCAACATTAGGGAATTATTTTCGACATTATGTCAACTAAGATTTAGCGAATTGGGATGAATTTATTCCATATGCAATGTATGTATATAATACAACAGAGCATGAAACGACAAAATTCCAACCGTATGAACTACTTTATGGATTTCCAGGGAAAATACCTACGTCATTAAAGAAGACACCCGAACCAAGGTATAATTATGAAATTAAGCAAAAATTTCAACAATCTTATGAAATTGCAAAACAACGTATAGTAAATTCAAAAGAAAATACAAAAGGACTATATGATAATAAAGTTAATCCACTGAGATTAAAAATAAATGACAAAGTTTGCCTTATGGAAAAACAACAAAAAAATAATTTAGCACAGAAATGGCTAGGACCATATGTAATAGCAGAAATAAATAGTAATGAAAATGTAACAATTGTCAGAGGACAAAAATTAGTTAAAGTACATAAAAATCTATTAAAACTATGTAATTAGTAAAAGAAGTATAAATATTAAACCAGTGATATCTTGTTAATACAGGATACTGATAATACAACCAATCATGGCAACAAATTTAACAGGAAATTATCAAATACAAAAAATTTAATCACCATCAGGAATATTTTTTAATCATTTGACGAATGTAAAAACAACAAATTAAAAATGGAAATTGTCAGTTTATGTGAATTTAACCACGTATGATGATAATTTTCACCAAATAAATAAATTTCAAAGAGAAACGGTACAACATTGTTTAAAGTTTAAAGATAGCAAAAAACACAGAAATAGTTCCAATAGAGCACATTGTAATTTGGGCGTATTTATGCGAGAAATTTAAAACAACAACTACGTCATATTTCCATGATATAGAGAAAACGCGAAAACAGATAAATTATGCAGTTAGTATAAGTGAACGTTACAGAAGAGGATTGATAAACGGAATTGGTAGATTATCAAAAACATTGTTTGGAATATGTTCAGATGAAGACTATGATTTTGTTGATAAGAAAATAAACGAAATAACCGAAAAACAAATTAGGGTAATTCATGATAATGCAACAACAAACGCGGATAGTACAGTAAACAGTACATGATGTGGACAAAGAAATGGTGAAAATACAACAAAGCGAAACAGCGATAATAAATAATATAAATAAGTTGCAAAATACAGCAAACAGAGCCGATAAAAGAATAAATGAAATGGAAGTTAGACAGATAATGAATGAACAAAGTGAGGAGTTAAATGTTCTTTTAACACAACATTCGTTTCAAACTCACAATCTGGTAGCAATAATTAACACTGCTCAATTGGGTCATATGCATTCTAGCATTATTTATGCAACAAATTTCTTAGCAGAGTTACAACAGGTTCGAATACAACTAGATTCAAGAGAGAACTTTGCAGAGCAAGTCACAATACAAAATATACATAAATTAATGAGAATGAGTAGCTTACAAGTGATAAGAGTAGCAGATACATTAGTATTCATAATATCCATTCCAATCGTACAAAACAGAGAATATCGTGTATATAAAGGAATTCCACTACCTATAAAACAAAAAGATTCAGTATATGCGTTAATTCAGCCAACAAACAAATACTTAGCCATATCCGAAGATAACGTATACTCAATATACATAGATGACATACAGTTAAACAAATGTATACACATGCAAGAGTATTATATTTGTTCGAACACTCAGACGCACTATATTCAGGAAACGGATAATTGTGAAGCAAAATTATTCAGTAGTCAGGATAAGGAAACGATTCCAAAAGCATGTTAAATAAAAATTACCTGTATTAAAAAATTAGTAGTACACAAATTAGATAACGAGAATGTTTGGTTGTACACGACAGAGAAACCAACGACAATCAACATTGATTGTGCAAATGGAGAGCCAGTGTTGCAAACCTTGCAAAACACGGGTACAATTTCTCTCACGTATCCATGTCGTGCGATAACAAAAGAGTACGAGCTAACCCCCACCAGGTCAATAGTAACAAAAACGTCGTATGATTATATTCCGAGAATAAACATAACGTCTAATATAAAACCATTTCAAACAAGTAGGATACAGGAAAATTTTTCAAACCTAACTAATTCGTATTATCCCGATTTTCACTCTTTAGCAACAAATTCAAAACAGTTAGATTTATTATTACAATCACAAAGAGATGATAGTATAGAATATGTAAGCGTATCTAAAGTAACGTACATAGCATTAGGAATAGGTATATTAGTGTTAATATTTGTAATAAGTAGAATAAGTTTTAAATTGTATAAACAGAATACATTTTAAATGAACTATATTAAAGCATTAGTCACTAAGAAATCAGTAGATGACATGCAGGGCGTAGAAATTAATAAAATGTAAAATGCAAATTATATAATTATTTAAAAATGTATAAAATATTTTTTTTTAAGGGAAAAAAAGAAATGTCATAAGTAGATAGACTCATGAGGGCATGAGCTTTCGTTTAACAAGGGGAGTGTTATGAATTGGTATTATTAAACATAGGAAGTAAGTAAGGATGTAGCAGTTAGTAAACAAATTAGAAATGTAGTATTTATAAAACATTTAGAATTACGAAATGAAATGATTATTGTAAATTAGTGTAAACAGGTACAATCCCGAAACTGCGAGTAAGCACTTTTTATATAGGAGAGATTGTCCTCCATAAGTTTAGATATAAGGAACATTAAGATTGTAAGAGGATTAGTGGAGAATGGACAGTGCCATTGCCTGTATATGTTCAACTCAATAAACTTTATAACTGAAAAGAGGTGTGTTTGTTACTTTATTTAATAAATCTATATTCAAACTCTACAAGTACAAGGCTACGGTCAACCGACTTGTAACAATAAGTACATTTGGAAAATTACATTTTTTTTTTAACTTTAGTACGACCATACATGTTGCCTTCAGTATTATTCCATATGTGAAACGCAAAATTCAGAAATGGTTCAAGTGCTTGACATTCAAATATTCAAAAAGCTGTTTTTTTGCATTTATTTTTTCAAATTTTTTTCTTTGCATCTTACTACCATATAAATACTAACCATATTATTTTACGCATATCTATAGATATCCTTTGCAATGTAATTATTATTTAATTTAATAATTTAAAAATTAACCTACCTAAGAAAATGTAATGTACAATAAATATAGGTACATTAGATTGTTATGAGAATGCACATACTTTCATTATTATTTAAAATATGTATATCAATAATATTAAAAATTTATATATATAAGTAGTTTGAATGCACGAATTGGATAGACATTTTGCAGTACATTTATTTAAAAGCTAAGAGTTTTAGTAGGAGCTTGGTGTGTCGATTGTCAATTTCTTAAAACATACATGTAACGTTATACTAATATATATATATATGTATTACCAAGTTTAATTACAGCAATTCACACCTTATATTTTTATATAATACTAGCTGATCCCGTGCACTTCGTCGCCCGTTAAATGGATCAACTCAATACTACCTACTCAAACTTTGTTCAATTCATTAACGTGTATGGTGTTCAAAATTTATCTTATCTTTCCCGTTGCCCTGAATAAAAATTCTGAATCGCGGCAGTACATTATCAGGTAGGCAATCTACCTGCGGTAGATCGCGGACCCCGTGCTGTTTGTACGGAAGTGTATGATTTAACTCTAAAGTATCAAAGTTATACCAAGTTTATTTTGATGTAATACTGTGGATTAATATAATAAATTTGGTTGCTCGTAAAAAATCGCAACTCTTAAAAAAATTATGATTGTTGAACTCCTTTTGGGTGTAATTTTCTGCGGTAAGTGCAACTCTGCCACCCTGGTAAGCATTGTTCAATAATTCGATTTGATGCAAGCTTGTACCTGCTCTGCCCGAATAACCAATGGCAACCAATAAATAAATGCTAATTTCTAATGTAGACTGTAACCAATGGCAACTATAAATAAATAAAAATAAAATTTCCAATTTCTATCGTGAATCTCAATGTCCCTGTTTCAGCACCTATTTAAAATGCGAATTTTGGCAAATCCTTTCTTAGCGCACGTCTATATTATAATAGCTATCTGTATGCCAAATTTCAGCCAGATCCGTCCAATGGTTTGAGCTGTGCGTTGATAGCAGTCAATCAGCTTACTGTTTTTTATATACAGATATGGTTGCCATGGTAATATGGACCCACACACACACACACACTGACATACATTCATTTTTATATATATAGATTGATATGAAATCTTGGTAACCTTAGTAACCATGGCAACCTTGGTAACCATGGTAACATGGACACACAGACACACAGACACACTGACACACTGACATACATTCATTTTTATATATATAGATATACTAACCTTCACGTTGGCAAGAAAACAAGAAAACTACTGTAACGATTCGCAGTTTACTGACTCGTCATTTATGTCGCACTCGGCGAATTTGCTTAGGTAAACAGAAAACAGGAACGTAGAGTACGAGCCTAAATATTATTGGCATAGCAGCCAGTCGAGTTTGGATCCGTGAAATAGAGACTATACATCAGTCTACTATAGTCATATTTACAATATTATTAAACGAAATTAATTGATTAACTTTAAGTATATAATAACGTACCTAATATTTAAATTATAATAATTCAGTATTGTTCAACTCGTACTCCGCTACTCCTGTTATCTTCAATATACTACCCTTAAGAACAGAGTTACTCAGGTGATAGTGTATTTTATTGGTTATAGTATTATAATTACTTTAGTCTTGAATAAAACATTGTATTCGTTGCTATATCGTGTTAATTGTGTTAGTTTATGAACGCAGGTCATAAGTTTCTAGGACCTGTAAAATATAACTCAGAAAACTTTATTTATATCAATTCAACAACCCGGATCTCTAAGGACCGTTTCTTGTAGTGGGAATAGTCAACCAACTACTCCTTAACTGGATAGAGTTAGGTATAAATATCGACAGCCACTGGGATTGACAAACCGAGGAGGTGTGTTGCAATTTGGTGGAGGCACCGGGCAAATATTTAACAAATATTTGATTCCCCATAATTGTTCATAATTACTAACACAATTATATCGATTTTGGTACTTATCAGGGAACAGTTTACGTCTTTGTTTGTTTAATGACAATATTTAATTTGGAATCCACATTATTTATTATTTTCAAAAATTTTAATTTAAACAATATAGTATAATTATAAAAATCTATTTTTTTAGGAAATGTTTAAGTATTATTTTAAAAGGGCGGGTAATAATCAAACCATTCATATTTCTCAACGTACTTGGTCAATTTTAAGCTTAGATAAGTCTATAGATGTATCTAGTTTAACGCCAAACGTATGTATATCTTATATTAAAACAATTAAGTATTCAGAGATCGCTGAAGCTTTTTCTCAGTGTAGGAATATAAAATTACCCAGTGACGTTATAGAAATCGCTAAACTTGACTTTGGAATTCTTTTTTCGTTAGAACTTAAAAGTAAACTCAAAAAAGAAGAATTTACACAGAAGTCGTTAGAGGAAAAGATTGAATTACTTTCTGTAACTAAATCTTTGTACCTTTATTATTTTTATCTAAATACGATCTAATACAAATTTTACGATTTTTAAATAAGGAATTTTCAAAAAATAGCGAAACCGTAGAATTACGACTTTTAGTAAGATCTATTTTAGACAAAAATCAAAGTGAGGACGATAACGATAGTGATCCAGATTTTATACCTAAACCTTTTAATATCGAGCGGAGATCACCTGTTATAACGCGTTCAAAAAAGACGGATACTGATTTAGTTGATCCAATTAATATTAACGATAGACTAGAAATTTCCAACATGTCCAAACCAATTTTTTTTAAACCCGAATTTTATAGTGGCGAACCAGACGAATGTGTCAACGAATTTATTGAAAATTATAATTTGATATCTGTGGCTAATGAGTGGTCTGATGATAAAAAAATAATGTATGTCCCAATATATCTCAAAAAAAAAACGCAACGGCATTCTATCAAAATTATATCATAAATAATCCTACACCAACATGGAGTCATTTTGAACTAGCACTCAAGGAATATTTCATTTCACCGGGGAGGACCAGAATGCTTAAAGCTAAATTAACAAACAGAAAATTAAAATTAACCGAAACAGTTTCGCAATTTCTAGCGGATTTTCAATTATTAGCCCATAAAGTTAACCCTAAAATGATGGACAAGGAAAAAATTGATTTAATATTGGAAGCGCTCCCACCCGATTTGTATAACCCAGTCGCATTAATGAATAATAATACACTCTCGGACTTACAAAAAAATTTGCGTAAGGTAGAACCAGCAAGAGCAACGGTAAATGAACGAAATAACACTCATAATTTTGATGCTCTTAAAGCAGAAATAGAATCTTTAAATCAAAAACTGGTAGAACAAAATGCTTTTTCAAATCAATTATCATATAATAATAATGGCTATACAAATAATAATCGCAATAATTTAAAAAAAATATAATTATAACAACAATAATAAAAATAAATATCAGAATTATAATACAAATAGAGAAAGAAACTTTAACGACTCAAATAATTTTAAGAATAATAAATTTGATAGAAATAATTATTACCAGTCAAATGAAAACTTTAATGGTAAACAACATTTCAATAACAGGTAGTTCACGGGTAATCAAAATCGTAACACAGGTTTTAAAAATAATAATAATTTTCAACAACCACATACCATGAATAATGTTAATAAAAATAAATTTTATAATTCACTACACCAAAATTATGATAATAAAAAGTTTAATTATTCAAATCAGCATTATAAACCAAATAATAATATGAATAATCATAATCAATCAAATCACTTAACCGAAAACACCAACCAAGGCTCTTACTCGGGTCAAAATAATGATCTATCGAATAAAAAAACATTTAATAATCAAAAAAACATGTAAGTCATGAGGTAGGTAGACATAAGGCTATCTCCTGACAATTGTATATAAATATTAATTTTGACGCACTTAAAAATTCAAATGAAAAGAATGCTGAACAGATTTCTAGCTGTACTGAGAATGTTAACGAGGTACCTATTCCAGCTATTAGATTAGAAGTAGTCGGATTTATAAATTATAAAGAAACACCTTTCATATTAGATTCAGGTGCAACTATTTCTGTTATTAACATCGAACAAGTTCAAATAAAAAATGCCTTTATCGATACAAAAAATGTTAGAGTTCATACAGCTAATGGCTCGATTCTAAAAGTAGAAGGAAAAATAGATATTAATATACTATTTCACAATTTAATTTTCCCAATACAGTTTGTATTAGTTTCTAATCTTGCTGGACCAGCGTTACTTGGTACAGATTTTTTGATTAAATATAGAGTACAATTAGATTTTTTTAATAAAGAAATAGTTATGTACAAAAATATAAATAATAAAGTAAAATTTAAAATTGGAGCTAAAAATGATATTTTAAATAATTGTGAAATTGTAGACGATAGTTTTAAGCAACATAAAGAATCTACAGAAACTAAGGAAAATAAAATCAAAGTAAATACTAGAAATACCAAAGTAAATAATTCAATTTTAAACGAGCAAAATGATAATATTATACTGTTAGAAAAATTAGCTAAACAAGTTCATGACCCTTATGAAGAGTGAGGGGATTATAATAAAAATATTAAAGAAAAACATTTCGAAATAAACAATGTAACTCTATGTGAAATAGATAAAATTGATAATAGTAATAAAATAAATGATACTTATGAAACACTAAATAAATCAATAACTTCTTTAGCTTCAAAGTTCGTTAAGCTTGAGAACGTACCATCGGATGGTAGTTGTGGTATACACGCGCTAGTTAAAATTCTAAATAATGAACAAATAAATGTAAATTTTAAACAAATCACAGACTTGTTAAAATTAACAAAATATAAAATGCCAATATGGTTAGAAACCTAAGATTTAGCAGCTGTCACAAATCATTATAATTTAAACTTGATAAAGTAATACAAGAATCACTAACTAGCGATAATAATTTCACAGCGTTAGCATATTATAAACCTGGGAGAAAATATGTATCTGTTTTTTATAATTTAAATCACTGGACGCCGGCGGTCCTTTCAAACGAAATTAATACCGATGTTATAAACTCCGTTGTTATCTACGATATACCGACACTAAAATCACGACACAGCATTACACAATCTCGTTACGAATGTAATGACATATTGGGAGGCGAGAATATTTATAATATATCTAATAATTCTGATATTATGCATAATAATAACCGCCCGATAGTGAATTCAAAGAAACTTGAAAAAATATCTCCAGACATAACGTGTGAACATTTTGATATTAACCCAGAATTAACAACTCAGCAAAAAGGCGAATTAATACAATTATTAAATAAATATATAAATATTTTTTCACAATCTAAATGGGATCTAGGTGAAGTAGATACGGAGCCTATCGAAATAAAAATAACGGACAATACACCAGTAAATTTGAGAAATTTTAAATTAAGTCTTTCAGAAATTAAAGATATCGAAAAACAAACTAAGGAATTATTAGAAGCCGGTATAATTGAACATTCATTGAGTCCATATTCATCACCTGTATTTCTCGTACCGAAAGGACAGCCACAAGGCACAAAAAATAAAACTGCCTCAGAATATAGGATGGTCTTAGATTATAGGCGAGTAAATGAAAAAACTCATAAAGCATTTCCTTTACCCATCATACAAAATATTTATGACACACTGGCAGGAAACAAATATTTTTCTTGTTTGGACGCAATGTCAGGTTTTCACCAATTAAAATTACATGAAAATTCTAAAGAGATTACGAGTTTTTCAACGTCAACGGGACATTACCAATTCACTCGCTTACCTTTTGGCTTAACTAATGCACCTCAAAAATTTCAAAAAGTAATAAATAAAATTATGGCAGGATTAAATTATCGAATTAATTGTTGTTATCTAGATGACTGTGTATGTTTCGGTAAAACATTTGAGGAACATTTAAATGCACTTGAAATGACTTTTGAACGACTATTAAAATATAGATTAAAATTGAAAGTATCAAAATGTAAATTTGGATTTACCGAACTAAAATTGCTAGGAAACATTATTAATGGTCACGGAATAAAACCCACACAAGAAGGCTTGTTAGCAATAAAACAATTTCCCTCTCCAACTACTATTAAACAACTTCGTAGTTTTCTTGGATTAGCAAATTATTTCCGTAAATTCATCCCAAATTTCAGTTAGGTAGTACACCCACTCACAGAATTGACTAAAGGAAAATTTAAAACAAAAAAATCTCCAATAAACTGGACAAATTTACACGAAACTGCGTTTAAAGATTTAAAAGATAAGCTCACCAATGAACCAGTACTGGCTCATTTCGACGATAACGCAGAAATAATATTAGTAACCGACGGTTCAAAGAAAGGCTTGGGGGCTATTTTGCAACAGCAAAATGAAAATAAAGAAATACATCCCGTCTCATATGCTTCAAAAAAATTAAATGCCGCTCAAAACAATTACTCTGCACTAGAATTAGAAATGGCCGCACTGTATTTCGGATGTACACACTTTCGGCAGTATCTCCATGGTAGACATTTCATTGTATGGACTGACCATAAAAATATGGTTGGCATGCAAAAATGTATTATACATTTGTAATTTAGTAACTTGTTCGAGCCTATGCATTCCATTTTAAAGGAGAGTTGTGCAAACTTATAATTATGATAACTTCTGTTATATATATGTTGTTATATAACTTAGGTTAGGTTACGTATAAAAAAAAAAAACACTTATAAATAATTGTTGTAAATAATCGTTTATATTTCATTCTGAAAATATATACAAAAACAAATTAGAATTAGAAAATAAAAAGAACTATGAAGCCATTATCTTATAAACCAGCGTTTCCCAACCTTTTTGCAATGGCGACCCATAAGTTTAATCTTTATGGGCTACGCGACCCCTAGCTAAAAAAAAAAAGTAAACTGTAAATAAATAAGATTTTTATTAAAATGCAACATACTGAACAATAATAACTTAATAAATAAATAAAATAAATTATAAAAAAATACAAAAATTAGTATAATAGAATATTTATTGCTGAATTTAGTGTGAACTTTGATTCTGGATGCTGTTGCATACAATTTCCCATTGGGGTACAATTTCAGATAAACTGATGCGCATGTCATGTGTGACATCTAATCTGTTTCTTTGTTTTGTTTTAATATTGGCCATGGTAGAAAATCCTTTTTCGCACAAATAAGTGGTAGGAAAAAGTAATAGTTTTTTTATTGCATTAATTGAAAGTTCTGGATATTCATTATATACTGCACACCAAAAATCTACAAGAGTTTCATTTTTACCACTGCAGGTCGTAGTTTTACGAATCATAAATTTATCCATTACGTAAAAATTTGTTAAAATAGTTAAAAATGCGTGTTGAATCGTAAACTTAAACTTTTCGTAGTCTCGATGTACCGCTCGTTGCTCAACTGCATATTATGAGTAGTATGATTTAGGGGGTTCAAACACACACTAGTCCCTAGTCATCCTAATCTATACGCGCGCCTGCTATCGCGTACATGCGCGACCATTCCCCTCCATGCCATACCATGCCATGCCTTTCTCCAGAACTGGTAACTCGTAACCTGCTATCGTGCCTGGCCTTACCCCCCCCCCCCCACAAATTAAAAGAAAATATATAAAAATATAAAATATACATGTTGAATATCTGAATAAGTAAATAAAATAATATACTGCTATTTAAATACAATACAATTGAAATATTAGGAAATAATTACTATATATATCATATTCATATAAACATTTTATTATATTATACTTTACTATATTATATAACCATCACTCGGAATTTCTAAAATCGTATTACGAAATGTGAAAGTACACAACTTTTAATTACTTTTTAATGATCTGAATATAGTAAACAAAGTAATTAAACTTATTTCATCATAATATTTTGAGTATAAATAGAGTAGAGTAGTGTCTAAAATTTCGTCAGTTGTGATACAAACACTTAACCCTCAAGTCGTTTTATTATCCGTTTAAATTAATTTTTACACTATTCAAATAAATTAAATTAATAAGTGTTTAGAAACATGGCCGGTTCAATCATGGATAATGCAGCTATATACAAGACAACCTTAACATATATACCATCATCAGCACCTATAGAGCTCATCGATTCTACTAACTATACATTAAACTTCGTTAAACGTAAGTTTATACATATTGGAGTCGATCCGAGTGATATGTTCAGAGTAGTAGTACATATAATAACACCATCACGTTATATTAATATTTCAACCGACTTTCTACAACGGATATTTTCACTGATGGGTAATATCCTATCATTTATTTTGGAGCAACCAGGAAAATATAAAAGAACTATATTTCTTGAGACGGAGAATTTCAAGTTGTCTAGCATGATGTATAGTGGTGAAAACACCTTAGTAGTAGAGTCAAAGATACATGATGGATGTCAAATTCTTTTAAATCATACAGAACTCATACGTCTTCAATATCTGGAATGGTGTATTTTTGAAACGATTATACGAAAATCTACTATCATGCAACCAATCATCTTAAATCAATTTGAAATATTTACCGAATATATCGATAGAGAATTTATCAAAGTGAAATCACCCCCAAGAACAAGTGAAGAAATTATTATATTTATTAAAAATATACGTGATGATCATATTATTACAAGCAGCCCCAAACATGATATTAATTTCATCAGTCAACTCAAAATGCTAGCATTTACACAATTAGCAGAACATTCAATACAACGGTGGAATAAGGAAAATATGTCACCAGAGGTAAGCTAAAAAATATATTTATACCACTTATGAAAAAATAATTAATGTATCAATTATTTTAGTTATTTGATGGAAATGTAACA